TATCCAAATCATAGGAGTCTAGTAATGTTGGTGATGATTTGAATAGGTTTTCTTCTGTAGGGGCGCTCACCATTTGAAGCTCGGCTCTAACAGCTGCGAAGGGTTCTATAGTCTGCCATGTACGTTTGGTCTAACCGTCATTATACTGGTTCTCTGTGTAAATAGACTTATCCACCTGTCCACTTACATTATTCTCCTCTAAAAATGGCCTACAGAAAGTGGTGGATATCATAATTTTAGACGCGGTGGCTGCATTTATATGTTCTACAAAAGAAAAAACTATTGAAAAGGGTTGTATGAAGTTGTTTGTAAAGAGGATTGATGAGTATTATTATCATCAGGATTTGATATCAGATTGGGGTTATATATTGTATCAGGTGTATTAGTATCATTGGGGTTAGCATCGCTCATAGAAATATCACCATCTGGGTTAATTAATAATTCTGAATGTTGATGGATTATCTTCCATTAAGGGTGTAGAAGTTTTAAATATGCTTGCATAACTAGTCTCTGTAGTATTGTTAAGATTTTGGAATATGTTATTAGTAGATTTGGATAGTTGTTTTTAGGTGTTGAAGTTATTGAAGGAGTAGTTCGAGTTGGCCGGAAGAGATTTGGTTTAATTTGTGGAGTTTTAAAATTGGCCTTGAATTTAGAAAATATAGTTTTTTCAGCTTCAGAGTAGGCTTTCTCATTATAGTACTTGCAAACCTCTTGAATAGATAGTTTATCAAATGATTTGCATATATAGTAGTAGGTTAGAACACGAGCAAGAAATTCAGTATTTGCAGGATGAGAAGAGATTTTGTTAATGGCATTATGAGCATGAATGCCATCGAGTCCATCATTAGTAGCTGCAGCATTAAGATATTCGTGGTAATAATAGTAGAAGTAGTAACTTTCTCGAGCAGAGTCAGTTTGTACTTGGTTAAGTTCTATACATTTGGCTTCAGCTTCATGGGCAAGTTTGCGCAAGAATGTGATAGGTGTGGGTTTTTGAAAAGTTGCAGCATTTAAGTAATAATAATATAAAATATAATAATATATATAAATATAATTTAAGTATCTTTATTAATATATATTGTTTTATATTTCAGATAATAATGTCTTGAATCTAATTTTATATAATACAAAAACATGATAGAATAGTACTTTTTTATTAGAAAGACTGGTTTATTTTTGTAACATACTTTTAGTATTTGCAGACAAACTACTTTTAGATTCTAATTGAACTACCAGTAATAATAGTAAAGCATTAAAAAAATTATTACCCAGTTTAGATAATTGGATAGTATTAGAAGAACTAATTTTGTTGCTTCAACCTTTTGCTGATGCAATAAATCTTACATCAAGTAATATATATTCAACTCTTTTGCTATGTTATCCAACTTTATTTTGCTTAAGGGTAGGTGTACTAATTTAAAATTATATATAAACTTGATAACAAATATTTTTTGTACGTAAAATACAAATAATTTTACTAATTAAATCTTTTTGTAGTTCTAAGTAAAGTTGTAGAGTAGATTTTTGTGATTCTAACAGTAGTAAATTTATTAAAATTAGTTTAAAACTTATTGAGATACAATAATTTAAAAATTAGATAT